TCCTCTTCTAAAGACAACTCTGACGACAGTGTGGAGGATGGGTGGGCTGAGAAGCCCCAGGGACACGGGGACCAGGTGCAAGGAGAGGTGGTGGCTGGGGACATGGAATGAAGTTTTCCATCAGGCAGAAAGGACCATATTTGGTGACACACTGGCTGCAGAGGGGAATCAGGGACAGCTGCTGGGGTGGAGAAACCATCCTCTAGATGCAGAACCTGCCAGGGAGATGGCTCCCGAGGGAAAAACCTGGCTGTGGGTGTGCTCTGGCGCCTTCCACCCCGACCGCATTCCTTCCCAGCCGCACTGGTCTCTTGGTTGCCCCTCAGACACACCAGGCTCACTCCCACCCCAGGAGCTTCCTGTCCCTCTGGCAGGAACACTATGCCCCAGATCTTCCCTGGCTGGAGTCTCCTCACAGGTCAGGTCTCAGATCAAGTGTCATCTCCTTGGAGAAGCTTTCCCTGGCCACCTTCACCAAAGTCACCCACAGGTCTCCATCCCGTCACCCTGCAGCACAATCACTCTCTGCAGGCACCTCATGCATTTGCTTACAAGCACACCGAAGGGCCCTTCTCACCAGCAAGTCTGCAGGCTCCATGGGACAGAGACCCCCTGTCCCACATACAACATGCTCTCTAGTGCCTGGGACAGCAGCCGCCCAATAAATCTCTGTAGTATGGGTGGGCAGATTAACATGGCATTCATGGGCCAGGTTAGGCTGGGGCTGCTGATTTCAGAGCCATGGGTAGAGAGATGGCGATTTCCATCCAGGGGAAGTGGAGGGAGCCTAGGGGAAGGCCTAGGAAAGAGCCCGGAGGAACTTGGTGTTGGGAGAAGAAAGAGGAAGACTCTCAAGGAGACGGGGGATGCCCCAAGGGCAGGACTGGCAGCTGAGGGAGCCTGGATCCAACCCGGCAGCGCACCAGAGCCCAGGTGCCTGGACACTGAGGTGCACTTCATCTCCTTTGAGTGTCGACAGGTGAGTGTGATCATGATTTCATTTTCCTGAGGATGGAGAGGATTTCACTCACACCGTAAGCAGCAGACCCGGCGGGAGCCCCAGCAGTGTTCTGGAGCCCACAGTTTCCTCCTTCCTGTTGATGGCACCGAGCTTCTGTGGGAACTGCCACAGGAGCAGGAGGAGAGCTGTGAGAAGGGGTCAGCCACCGCAGAAGTGGCTGGGAGAGCAGCTTCTGCAGCAACCACCCAGGGGATCTGACGACCTGGCCATCAGCTTAGGTGGGGTGGAGGCCAGGAAGTGGGGACAGCAAGCGTGGGTAACTCTTTGGAGAAGTTTGGCTATAGAGACAAGTGAGACATAGGATAGTAACCGGAGGCGGCAGTGGGTGCAAAAGAGCGCTATTTTAAGGTGGCAGAAACCGGAGTGTGCTTGGACGCGACAGCCAGCAGAGGAGCAACTGAAGAATCGAGTGGGGGTGGGGGGCGGGGACCGGCTCAGCATGGGGTGGAGGGGCTGCAGGGGCGGGGGCCTGGCCCTCCTCTGCCTGCTTCTTTTCCGCGGGAAGTAGGAGGAGGAGAGGCCACCTGAGCGGAGTTGGGAGGCGGCAGGTCAGGTTTGAAAGAGCAGGAAGGTTTGCAACAATGCACCAGGAGAGAGAGCTGGCTATGGCGAAGGCCAGGCAGTGTGACCCAGTGACCATTCTCATGCCATCAGTCGGCTCAGGGGTGTGATGTTCTTTGGGGGCAGCAGCAGCTTGGGTAAAAGTTCAAAGAACAGAGAGTTGCAGTCATCCAGGATTCAGGTTTCACCAGGATGGTTCTGTGGATGGAGTGAGGTTAGCACATGGCAAGACAGTGACTGAGGTAATGCACATGCAATCCACACTGGAAGTGGGGCAGCGGGGCAGGAAGGGGCTGAGGGTCAGGGAGGAAGCAGAGGTAAAGGAGGTCAAGGGACCAGAGTGACAATGTCAGAGTGAGCAGTTTGAAAGGGTCGAAGGCATGGCCATAAAGCACAGCCTGTCAAGAAGGGATCTTGAGAGGCCTCAACTCTGAGCTGGGGCAAGTGGATATCCAGAGGAGCCGTGGGTGTAGGTGTGGGCGTGGGCGTGGGCGTGGTTATGGGCATGCGGCTGCAGCCTTGGCCTCCTGGCAGGATTCACAGAAGCCTTTCGGAAGTCAGATGTGACTGGGAGGGCAGCCTGGCAGCTGTGGAGCAGGATGAGGATCCTTTTTGCATGTTTGTTTGATTTTGTATCGTCTGATTATGCCTAGATAAGACAGGTGCCTGGGAAAGCATTCACACAGCATGAAGGAGTGTGTCCTCGCAAGTCTGTTCCTCTCCTTGCAGTGGGCTGGCAGGCCACAGGCAACCGCAGCACCATCTTCTTCTGTATGGAGCTTTGTTTGGAGGCTGAGGCGTAGGGGTGGGAGCAGTTCAGCTGGGCAGAAGTCTCCCCCACTTCTCCCCTCCAAGGCTCCAGGCTGGAGGTCCCCTCCCAGCAGCCCAGAACTGCTCGGGGCACGGAGGCCCCTGGCCAATCCCTCAGTTTCCAAAATCGTCTCTTCCTCAGCTGCCAAGAGAGCCCACTCCACGGCCTCCCCCCACCTCCCTGAGTGCTCCTATCCCTGCCCCTGCTAGGGCTGCGGCCCCCATCTCCTGCCTCCTCACCTCATTCTGATGCATTCCTGCAGCTTCACTTTCCACCTCCAGCAGCATCAGGGCTCAGAACTCTCTCTGCTGAACCCCAGTCCTACACACTCATTGTCCATCTGATGGCTCCCCTCCAACTCAAGGTGCCACAGCTGAGCTCATCGGCTGCCCCTCTGCCCATGCCCCATCAGCAGCAGACATGGGTTAGCTTGTGGCCACCCAGCATCTGTTCACCCCAGACTGACCAGGCCCAGCTCTGGTGAACAGACAGCCCCCTACTTTGGACCCTGTGGTCTGTGGTGTTCCCTCCACCTCTACCCTAATCCAAGTACAGCATGTGACCAAAGTCTAGAACATTCCATATTCTCAGCATAGGACTGTTTCAGGGTTAGCACAGAGTCAACCAGGTTCAATGGCAGCAAACTCCAGGGTTTGGTCCAAGTGACGTAGGAGAAGCCCTCCCTCTTTCCTGATAGGTTTGAACCCGAGAGGCCGTAAAGCCAACGTCTGCCTCATGTGGAGGCGGGGAACGCACACCGCCAACACTCACATGCATTTTCTTGGCGTCTGGTGTTTGCCAAGCTCCCTACATGTGTGGATCCTACTTTGTCCTGACAAAACGTGGCATGAGCTGGGCCCTATTTTTCCAACCCTAAGGAGGAGGGAATTGAGCCACAGAGAGGTTAAGGGCCTTGTCAGGCCACTCAGCTAATCACTACGGTGCCTGAATTCAAATCCAGGCCGTGTGATTACAGAGTCCTTGCTCTCGACCACCAGGCTCTACTGCCAGAAGTCAACGCAGGCAAGCAGAGCTACAGGAGGAGGGGAAACTGAGGCCTGCTCCCACCATGGGGCCCTGAATCATGCTGGGCCTGAGGCCAGAGCCACCCCTAGACTTTTCAGTTACATGGGCCAATACGTTCCCTTCTGCCTGAGCCAAATATAGTTTGCGTTTTCTATAAATTCAGACCAAAAAAGTCCTAACTGATAACACATCCTCTCAGTGGGTGGCACCACCACACACGCAGTATTCAGACCGGAAACCAGAGCATCATCCTCCCCTCCTCCCTCTCCCTCATCCCTCACATCTGATCAGTGACCAAAGCCAGTGTCCCAGCTCTGGCCCTCTTCTTACCCCCAGTCCTGGCGACTATCATTTTTGCTGGGTTTTGACAACAGCCTCCTTGCCTCTTCTCTGCTTCCAGCCTGCTACCCCCACCACAAACTTACCCCCCAGTTCTTTCAGATCCAGATCTTACCATGTCACTTCTGGCTTGAAACCCTCCAGATGCTTCGCTGTTCCTGGTGTAAGCTCCAACTCCTGCCCAGGCCCCCCTACCCACTGCCCTGGTCACACCTCCCTTGCCTGCCCTGCCCCAGCCCACCTGTTTCTGAAGCTCGCTGCTTCACCCCTCCAAATCTCTGCCTGAAATGCTCTTGCCCCCTTCTTGCCAGGTGAATGCCCAGTGGTGATGCCACCTCCTCTGTGAGTTGCACTTTGCTAACCCCAGTGGAGCTCTCACTCTCTGCTGTCTGCTCTTTTGCTCTGGGCTCTTTTTATTGTCTATTTTAACTTCAGTTTTGTGAGCCCGCTCTTTACTAGACTGTGAGCTCTGCAGGGGCAGGGGCTCTGTCTTGTTTATCTCCTCATCCCCACGCCCCAGAGCATGCCTGGCACAGAGTGATCACTCAGTAAACACTCATGAAAAAGAATATGATGAAGTGTTTCCAGGAACAGAGAGTGGGTTCTATGCCTCTCTCCTGGTTCTATACTTCTGGTGAGTTCTATACTTCTCTCCTCTTCTCCCTCTTCTCCTCCTCTCCTCCTTCTTCTCTTCTCTTCTTTCTTCTCTGGGGATGGTCAGATTTAGGGAAAATAATGATGCTACAGGATGATCACTGTGCAGAAAGACTTTTTTCAATGAACAAGCATGTTACCTATTTGGTCAATGACAAACCAGTGATATTGTCATCGCCACTTTATAAACGAAGAGACTGAGGTTTAGGAAGGTTTTGCAATCTAGAATTCCATGCACATGTTCACGAATCCACTCTCAAAAGCCAGGGCTCAGGTTGGACTCTGATGAGACCCCAGCAGTGAGTGGTTGAATGAAGTGGCGCTTTTGCCCACATTGGCCACACGGGGGCAGCCGAGTGCTGACGAGAGTGGCTTTCTGCCCCCCGCCCCCCCCCCCCCACCTCACACCCACCCTTGGAAGATGTGGATCTGAGGGTGCAAGGGGAAAGGCCACCACTGAGAAGAGGCCAGGGGACAGGGGCTGAGGTTGCTATATATGCTAGAAGCAGGTCAAACTGGAGGGGAGCCAGGGAACAAACCACTAACTCCTAGAGTCAAGAGCTGGAGACATAGAGGGTAGACCAGAAATTTGCATCACCAGCATATTTAATGAGAGGCCACCGAAAGTGATGCAGCATTTCTGGATGGCAGGGGCGCCACAGGTCTGCAAATGGGAGGCACTGACTCGGAGCAGGGGCGGGTCACTGTCAGACCACTGCTGCCTCACACCAGACAGGACAGGTGTGCACTCATGTCCTCAGAGGCCAGAAGGCAGAGGGCACAGCCAGCACCTGCTGCGCCAAGCATCCAGGACGTGTGGCCACTTCAGTGCCCAGGACATGCAGCAGGCCCCAAGCGGGCTGGGAGTGTGCAGGCCCACACCGAGGACTTCCTGCAGTCCAGCAGAGCAGTTCAGAGGCAGCGGCTGGGTGCAAGGATCCCAGGTTGAGGTCTCACCACGAGCCAGGTATCTCCCAGTCTGTCATCTGCATCAAGAATGAGCTGAGGGTGGCATGAGTTCCCCAGAGGGGCAGCAGGAGAGTGGGCTCTCTGGTCAGCAGATGATGCAGGGCTCAGGAATCTGTAGAGAGAACCACCCCCATCTTTTCTGGAGAGGGAGCCGCACGATGTGGATGGTGAGGAAGGGACTGCATAAACCCCTCACAGCCTTTCCCAGCTTAGGGAAAATCTCAGGGGCTGGAGGAAGGTGAGGGCAAGGTCTGAACCCATCAGCTGCCCCAGCCCTTCCCCCATGGACAGTGCAGGCTAAGGGAGCTGGCTGGGTTTCCAAGTACCTGGCTTCTCTCCCTGGCACTCAGGCCTGCACCCATCCCCCCACCTCTCACTACCAGCTGGAGCCTGAGAGATGGGGTGACAGCAGCACCCACTTCCCAATTTTCCACATTCTTTCCTGCCCACTCAGCCTAACAGCCTTGACCGGGGTCAGAGTTCCATGACAAACATCTCAGTCTCTTCCCGAAGGAACACTGAGGTCTCTGGCACACCCCACGGCCTCCTTTCCAAGCACTGGGCCCAGGAACAGTAACAGGAGGAAGTTGGAGGAAGAAAGCCTTTGCCCCTGCCTCTATCCCCAGCCCCGGCCCTGTCCTGGGTGTGAGCAGACATGAAGATGCTGGGGGCAAAGCCCTTCCCAGCACCAAATTGCTCTATACCCTCACACCACAGCAACTTGAGCCCAAAGACCAAACCAAAGGTCATCAGCCTTCAGCCCTGATCCCTGGCTCTGACGGCTTGGATTTTTTTCCATGGATGTTTATTCCAGCTGACCCTCTGAGCCCATCCCCCACTCAGGTTCAGGCCAGAAAAGCTGAGCCCAGCTGGCTAGGAAGCTGTTGCTGGCATCTGGAAGACTGCTCCCTGTAGACAGAGGGCAGGGAGGGCCCTGGGGAAGCAAGGACAGGAAGGGGGCAGTGACACAGAGGTTTGGGGGTCCACACCTGATTCACAAATGTATGAAGAGAGGCCATATTTTGCACCAGCATCTCAAAGAGTGAAAAGAAAGCAGGGGAGGACAGAACAAGAGGGGCCCCCAAGTGCCAGAATGGGCCATGAACTTGGAATCAGGGCCCAGAGTCTGCTTCCGGCTCTGTCATTCACATGAGCATGTCACTTACTGTTCTCTGAGCTTCCCTGTATGTATAAGGAAGGGGTTCCCCGTGATCTGGGGACCCTCTCTCCCAGCGGGGAAAGGAGAGGAGAGCATGGGGCCAGAGGGTGACAGGCAAGGCGTCTGGAAGAAACTGGGTACAATCAAGAGAGGAAGTTCCCATCCTCTCCTCCAGAAAAGGGAGGCAGGAATGTCCCCTGGACCCAGCCCCCTGCCTGTGCCAGGTACAGTAACACACACGTGGCACACACCCCTCAGGGCCCTGGACAGCCCTCCTACTTAGGGGGCAGGGGCAGCGGCCCTGAGGTGAGAAGTCCCTGGCTCAGCAAGCCCAGTGTGGGATTAACGCCAAATCCTGGGCTGCTGGGCAGAGATCACACGTCGTCATCAGCTTCGCAGCTACTTAGCTGCACCTGCCCGCATCCTCCCCCTGCCCCTCACAGGCACCCAACCTGACTCCTTTCTTGGAGGGAAACCGGGACCCTGCCCTACCCCAGACAAGTTGGGGGGGGCTCCAGAATCAGGGGGTAAGAGAGGCCAAAGTCACCCTCAAAAAACAAACATTTCCACCCACAGAAACCTCCAGGGGCTCCTAGGTGCAAAGCTGAACAGAGGGAAGGAACAGTGAAGGCCTCTCCAGCCTCTGTGGCTCTTCCCAGGTGGCCTTGGTCTGTAGTTACCTTGTCCTCGGGTCATCCAGGCCCTTCCCTCCAGATGGCTCCTGTCCTTGGAGAGACAGAGCGAGACACCCAGAGAGAGCCCCCATAGCTGGGAGTCCTCAGCCCCACTTCCTGGAGCAGTGCTTCTGAGGCCCCCCAGCTGCTGGGAACCCTGCCATCCACGCCCCACAACACACACCACACAAAGCTCCTTGCTCTGGGTTACATCTGCTCCCCCACCCCACTGCTCCACGACATAAGCAGCGGCCAGGGAAGAGCCTTCCACACACCTCCCCATGCCCAGGGCCACCCAGGCCCCTGGCTCTGCCTTCAACATGACCACACTCTCCTCCCTGTCTCAAGAGGAAGGAAGTCCAGGCAAAGAATCTCCCTCAAGCCCCCTTCCAGGGAAAAGACTTCAGGAAGCTGAGACCAAAGGCTGAAGCTGTCTGCCTGTCTCCTCAGCCCCATGGAGTGCAGAATTGGGCCTAGGACCTATAGGGGCTGGAGCAGATGCAGACCGTGGAGGTGAGGGCAGGGTCCAGGGAAGAAGCCCCCAAAGCACGCTGCGGCCTCTGGACTCCCTCCTCTGTCATCCTCCTGCCTCCACAACCACCCTACAGTTGCACAGCAGCTTCTGCTCCTAGAAAAAGGGCATAAGGTGGGAAAACTTAAGACGGGAAGAGGGGGCCAGAGCTGCGGGAGACACCATCCGGGGCAGGGTGTGTGATCCCGCACACCTGGGTGGCTGCAGCCCCACCCACCGTGGACTTACGGAGCTGGGAACCGGAGTCGCTGACAAACAGGTGCCTTGCTGCAACCGGATAAGCCCCTCAGTAAGGAAGCTACTGGAGCCTTCCAGGCCCCCACGCCCGTACTCCCGATCCCTGCCCTCTCACCTGTGTGGGGCACGCCGCTTCGGAAAAGGGGTAGGAACCGCAGCAGCCGTCCGCGCGGAGTCCGGGGCGGCACGGGGACGGAAGACCTCCGAGCGCAACTGGGCGCCTAGGAGTGGTCGTCGTCATCGCTGTCCTCTCCGCGGGCATTGCCGGGCTCGGGCTCGCGGGACGTACGCTGCTCGCGGGCCAGCAGCGCTGTCAGGCCCTGGGCGCGGAGGAGGAGGCCGCCGCCCAGGAACAGGACCCCACAGAGCACCAGCAGGGACAGCACGCCCAGCACCACCGCCTGCACCGCGCGCGGCCCCTCGGGGGGCTCCGGCGGCGACCCCGACTGGTTGCAGCAGGAGCTCAGCCAGGCGGCTCCAGCCGCAGGGCCCGCCTGAGAGCCGTTCATGCTCCAGCGCCTGCTGCCCAGATGTGGTGGGATCGCCAGATGTGCGGGAGGCCAGGCTGGCGGGCGGGCAAACGGCTGCGTCAGGGAGGGAACTAAGGGGCGGACCCCAGGCGCCCTACGCCCCCACCCGCTGCGCAGAGTGCTTGTGCCCTTCCTAGACAGAGCTCCAGCCGCTGTGGGCTACTGGCCCACAGGCCGGGACTCTGGGGCGGGGCCGCCTTATTTCTTCTCATCCCCTTGGCCCATAGGCACCCCCGTGCGAGTCTAGCCAGCCAAAACCAGGAACCCTGTCCCCAAGAGTCCCTCCCCTTCGCAAAGAGGGCCAAGAGGTCCACCTGGGCAGAGCCCTGAGCAGATCTTCAGACCCCATTCCCACGTGCAGGCTGGGGTGCTGCCCCTCTAAGCAGGACACAAGACAAAGGAGACAAAAGCGACTGTCCCCTTTCTTGGGCTTTTTGTCCCTATACCAAAGTTCTATGCTGCCAGGTGGCCCAGGTGACTGCTGAGCCAGGAGGCACACAGGCAGCCCTGAGGATAAGTGACTCCCACCCTTCCTTGTCTGTCATCCCTTCTGGAAGCTTCCTGGGGCTGGACAAGCAAGACAGTGCCTCCTGCAGACTCCACAGCAGGGAGACATTCAGGCAGAGCAGAGCAGAGCATGGGGATTTCAAGGTCCACCCCACACATTTTCTCAGGCCCCACAGGCCAAGGAGAGCCACATTTACAGACCAACAGGAGAGCACAGATTTGAGCCACCAGAACTCCAGTCCTGACCCTGGACAAATCAGTCCCTCACTTCAGGGAAATCACAATGCCAGAAGGGATGGAAATGTTGCTGTGCTGTGCACTGGGCAGCCCACTGCCAACTAGGCGTCTCGTGGCCAAGCCAGTGGAGGAGTTGTGGAGCAGAGTCCAGCTGCAGAAAAGCACAGACTGGAAAAGCAGATAGGGAAGGAAGACCCTCCTGCCAGGTCTACCAAAAAATTCCATAGCAAGCCTTGAGTCTTCTTTTAAAAAATAAAGTCACTACCAGCCAATACCTGTACCAGTCAACCCCTCAGAAGGGATTAGATTAGCTGACGGCTTGCTGGGAGGAAAACAGGAAGAGTCCCCGAACTGCACCATGCCAAGTGGGGATCACATACTATCGAGAACTTGCTACAAATAGGCCTTCTCCAACTATAAACACCCCTCCTGAATGCTCCAACTCTGATGCCCCAGAGATCGAGTAGAACATCACAAAACTTATCAGGAAACAACACGTGGCCAAGGGTGACTTGAAATGGGAAAAGCACATTCCAAATGCAAACACTTCCTGGCCATCCTGGCTACCTACCCTGCTCCAGGACCATAGACAAGACCCCCCCACTCCCACCCCATTTCTCCCATTAGCATCCCTCCCTACACACAATTCACTTAGTCTGTTTAGAACTGGCTCAGAAGCAGCCCAAAGCATTGTGAAACATGGACTGTATCGATGAGCGCACAGCACACAAGGGGGCTGGAGTATGTGGGTGTGGAAATGAATGTGAGTTCCTGAGGCAATGGTAAGACCCAGCCCAAGCTAGAAGTGTCACCAGATGCCAGGTAGTCTCAAGCTGACCCATCTGTCTCCAGACACCTCCCCACATCAGATGACCCTTCTGGTGCACGTGGGGATCTGTGTGCACTCTGTGAAGGCAGAGAAGTTACTCTCTGGGTCCATGATGAAGCAAGACCAGTAACATAAAGGCCAGGGATGTCACAGCTTCCCTAGAAAGGGAGGAGATAACAAGGGAACAGAAAACCAAATACCACATGTTCTCACATCTAAGTGGGAGCTACATGATGAGAACACATGGACACACAGAGGGGAACAATGCACACTGGGGCCTTTTGGAGGGTAGGAAGAGGGAGAGGATCAGAAAAATAACTAATGGGTACTGGGCTCAATACCTGGGTGATGAAATAATCTGCAAAATGAACGTTTAGAAAAAAAAGTAGAGTTTGGAAGTATTAAACTAGGGAGTAGATTGGTGGAGAAAAAGGGAGGAGAAGCAGCTTAGTCACATCCAAAAGCAAGAGACCCTCACCCTCCAATGTACCTTCATTCATGGGATTGGTTACGGCCACATCTGGGTAACACCTGCTTTGTGTGAATATCCAGACAGAGTTTTTAATATGCCTTTAATCCCATCCGCCCACTTCATCTTGGAATAATGCTCTCAATACAAACCTGTGTCCTCATAGGAATGCCAGAAAGTGTTAACACGTCAGGGCAGACACAAGCCAAGGGGAGATGGTTCCACCCAAACTCACATTCTCAACTTTATTCCCCATGCTAGTGGTGGCTCTTCTATACAGTAGAGAAGGAAGGGGCCCACCAGGGGTATGGAGAGAGTACAGGCAGGACTGAACCGTCTGCAAAGGTGAAAGGATGACCAGAGGCTGGCAACCACAAAACAAAACCAGCACCGCCCCTTCCAAGTCTCACGCATGACCCAGGGCAGGTTCCAAGGCCCACAGGCCTAACAGCACAACCCCCCAAAGCCGAGGTCTGGGAGCCATCGAGGAGCTCCCAGAAACCGGGTGGGCTCAGAGGGCAAGGGTGTCTTTGATGAGCCTGCGCATGGTGGTGGTGACGGAGGTGCCCAGGGCATCAGTGATCTGGAAGGAGATCTTGTAGAGGTAGGGCTGCACGTCCCGCAAGCCTGTGTCAAACACATTATCCACCTCCGACTGTGTGGGCATCTTGGGTAGGTACTCGTGCCGATTCATCACCTCCACGATGTTGATGATCTTCTCACAGAGTTTCTCGCCCACCTTTTCCCTGCAGATCTGCCGCTCCTGCTCTGTGGCCAGGGCTACCACATGCACCTTGACCGTCCACACTTCCCATGGGATGCACTCGTCTGAGAAAGGCCAGCGAGACTTCTTCTTCTGGTAGAACTCCAAGGACATCTGCCCCAGCCCATCGCCACCAGAGTTGCGCAGTGCATCCTGGGGAAGAAGGGAACGAATGAGCAAGCTGAGGCCTCTGAGCTCCCGCCTGTGAGTGCTGCTTCCCACGCCCCAAGGAATTATGCTCTCTGAGCTACAGTAATCATGCAGGGATGGCAAGGAAACAAGACTGGGAGAGGGTAAAGGACTTGGGTGAAGTGACACAGCAAACTGCCAGCCAGAAATTGTGTAGTGCAAGCAAACCAACGAAATCTGTCTCCAAACTCAACTCCTCCAGCGTGGTGAAGAACTGATTATTACAGGAATAACTGGTCTGTAGGCACGTATTCTGAGCCAGCAACTACACACACAACCCCACTGGCTCCTCTCAACAAACCCCGTGAACTCTCACTCAGGCAGCACGAGGCTTAGAGGAGTCAGGTAGCTTGCAAGAGTCACATGCCTATGAATGGCTGGACCGGGGTTTGAATCTGGATTGTCTCATTTCAAAATCCTTGCTTTTCACCTTTCCATTAAAGGCCTTCTCCTTCCACACCACCACCCCTTTAGCCCATGTCCTTCAAAATGTTCTCTCAAATCACCTCATCAACATCTCCCTCTTCGCTGTAACCTGTATTTGTCTTCTCCACTGCCAATTAAACATAATCCTTTCGGTATTTTTTTTTTTAAGAGACTGGGCCTTACTCTGTCACCCATGCTGGAGTGCACTGGAGCAATCATGGCTCACTGCAGCCTCGGACTCCTGGGTCCCACCTCAGCCTCCTGAGTAGCTGATACTGTAAGCACACTTGGCTAATTTTTAATTTTTTTTTTATTTTGTTGGAGTCAGGGTATTGTTACGTTATCCAGACTGGTCTGGAACTCCTGGGCTCAAGCAATCCTCCTGCTTCAGCCTCTCAAAGTGCTGGGATTACAGTCGAAAGCCACTGCGCCCAGTCCACAGTCTCTTTTATGAAAGCAGGAAGAGGGAATTGTAGAGCCCAGGGATCCTTACTCATAAAGAAGGAAACCAAGCAACAGAATGGGGAAGGGAAGTACCAGGACAGACCATACCTGGCGCCTCTCCCTCCTCTACCCTGAGAAGCAAATATGACCATCCAGTCCAGTGATTCTGCCCATGCCACCCCATGGGTGTGGGTAGCCCCATACTCCTCTTCTGAGGGCACCCAGGACCCAGAAGCTCCTTTCCGCCTGACTTAATGCCACCCCAGAGGATAAGGATGCCTAAAATCCTTATCAGGGAAGAGGCTCTCCTTCACTGACAAACCAAGGTCATGCAATCTTGAATGGCTAACACACCTGTAATGCTTACTGTGTAACAGGTTCTGTTCCAAACATTGGACATATTTGACTTATTTAGTCCTTGCGGTGCACCGCCCTTTGAGGTAAATAGGATTATTATTCCAATTTTGAGTGGAGCCACTAGCCGAAAGTCACACACTTGCCGGGTGGTAGAGCCCGGCCCCAAAGCCCATGCTCTTAACCTCTCTGTGGCACCTTCCTCTCACGGACACCTGGAGGACAGAGGGCTGAATGCTACTGCTTCTCTTAAGGGTGACTAGGAAACCACTTACAGACCTGCCCTTTCTGGGTTTGGAGGGCCAACGGGGGATAGCTTTTACGTGACCCTGGGCAACCCCCTGCAATGTGCACACAGTGTCTAGCACAGTGGAGAACTCTGTAAACATTTATGGAATGACAGTCAGACACACCGCTCCCCTGTGTTCTAACACCAGAGCAGATGCCTTTAAAAGAAAAATTACAGGCATGGGCACACTGGCTCATGCCAGTAATTCAAGACCAACCTGGAGTTCGAGACCAGCCTGGGCAACACAGTAACACCCATTCTCTATAAAAAAAATTCTTTTCTTCTTTTTGACAGGGTCTTGCTCTGTCACCCATGCTGGAGTACGGTGGCATGATCATGGCTCACTGCAGCCTCGAACTCCTAAGCTCAAGCAGTTCTCCCGCCTCAGCTGCTCAAGTGTCTGGGACTATAGGCATGTGCTGCCATGTACCACTAATTTATTGTTTGTAGAGACAGAGTTTTGCCATGCTTCCAGGGCTGGTCTTCAACTCCTGGGCTCAAGCAATCTCACCACCTCAGCCTCCCAAAGTGCTGAGACAACTGGTTGTGAGCCACCAGCCGTGACAAAAAATTCTTCAACTATTAGCTGGGGATGGTGGTGGTGGTGTACACCTGTGGTCCTAGCTGTTTGGAAAGCTGAGGTGGGAGGACTGCTCAAGGCCCAGGAGTTCACGATTGGGGTGACACAGTGAGATTCTGTCTCAAAAAAATTAAAAAAGGAAGAGAGAAAAATTATCCCAAAACCTAAAATGCAATTAAAAAAAATAAAAGAAAATAAAAATTATGTTTACTACTTTAAAACTTAAAAGTACCCACTCAATAAAATGATGACACTGACTCTGACCACAGGAAAACCACACTACCACTCCCACCTCCTGAGGTGACCAACATCAGCAGCCTGCTGTGTCCCTTCCATATCTTTTTCCTACCCAGGCACTCACAAACACATGCCACACTGCCATCAGGGACACTCCATCTTGGATGGCAGCCACCTGAGCTAAGCAAGCCGCCCTCTAGGGGAGTCTCATGTGGGAAAGGAAAAGTGGAAGCAGAAGTAGAGAGAGCTGTCCCAGAGAGGTCAAGACCACAGAAGCAAGGATGGCCGAGGGGCCTGGCCGCCAACGCTGTTAGGGCTTCCTGCTATCCCTTTTACCCCTAGGCACATTTATGAGTGTCTCCCTCCTCCACTCCACCCCCCAATACACACAGACACACACGCCCTCCCCTGAAGAGGAGCACTCCACACACCTGTTCCTCAGAACCTGAAAGAACCCAATACACACACTCAGGAGGTTGGGTCCAGAGCAAGCTGAGATGGAGGGGCACTCGAGGTCCCCCTGCCACCCGCTGTGCCACACCCTTACCTTGAACTCCCCAACAACCTTGCGCAGGGCACGGTCCAGTTCCTCAGAAGAGACACGAACGTAGGTGAAGTCGATGAAGTCACAGTCGACATCCTGGGTGCCCACGGTGCCAATGGAGTAGGTGCCCTCCTTCTTATAGTGGAACTTGCCCGTGCTCCGGTGCAGAAGCACCGTGTGCAGCACAGCCAGCAAGGCCTCCTCCACCTGCCGGCCCTCCACCGACACCTCTAGCACCTCCGAGCGACAGTTCATCCTGCAGCCAGTAACCCACACCAACGTGGGGAACGAGGACAAAGACAGGGATTTCCTACCCAAGGGCCACCCTGCAAGAGAAGCGCAGGTCAGAATGCTGACATCTTCTTCAACAGTCCACAGGTTATCTGTTCACTTCCTTCTAGGCTCAGCTCAGCTTCTGCCTCCACTGGCCCTTCTCTGCATTTTGGCAGCACAGACTACCAGAGAGAATCATCAACTCTCAGGATCAGAAAGGGCAAGAGCTTCAAAGTTATCGTCCAAAGGACAGGCCCGGATTCCATTTTATGGCCTTCAATGTAGTTTACAGCACATGCTCACTGTGCAACATCTGTCAGGCACTAGCCATTCAAAGGCAAGCACAGCCCCTGCCCTCAGGCTGACAGGATGAAGGAAAAGTAGGCAAAGTGAACATTATCACCATGGAGAGAGTCCGAGGTGGGGAATAAGCAGCACAGGAAGATTGGAGTCTGATTTCCTGGGACCTTGAGTGACCAGGTTAAGGCATCAGCACTCTGTCCTAAGAGCAGTGAAGAGTCAATGCATCACTGTGCCAAGATTGAATCTGTGCATTAGAAATGTACCTCTGGGCCGGGTGCAGTGGCTCACACCTGTAATCCCAGCAATTTGGGAGGACAATGCAAATCACTTGAGCTCAAAAGTTCAAGACCAGACTGGGCGGCAACATGATGACGCCCCATCTCCACCAAAAGTGCAAAAAATTAGCCAGGCCTGGTGGCAAGTGCCTGGAGTTCCACCTACTTGAGGGGCTGGGGCAAGAGGATCACCTGAACCTGGGAGGTTGAGGCTGCAGTGAGCTGAGATGATGCCACTGTGCTCCAGCCTGGGTGACAAAGTGAGACCCTGTCTCAAAAAGAAAAAAAAAAAAGTAATACAAGAAATTTTTGAAAAAGAAAAGTACCTCTGGCTAAAGGGCAAAGAATGGCACTCTATGTGCTGAGGTCACAGCTGCTCTGAGAAGTCAATGAAGGCAGGAGGTCTGGGCTAAAGGGCAAAGGATGGCTCTCTACTGTGCTGAGGTCACAGCTGCCCTGAGAAGTCAATGAAGGCAGGAGGTCCGGGCTTTAAACCATGACTGAGGCACATAGTCCAAGTCTCACCTGGGACAGCCACACCACAGATTCTAGGGTAAAAACCTGTGGATTTAAAGAAGGCACAAAGGCAGGGCAGAGAAGTCAGTTAGAGGCCACTACGGTGGATGTAGTTATGGAAGCAGCATAATCAGGTGTGGGGGTTTCATGCCCAACAGTCCTGGCTCTGAATCCCACCTCATCCACATCTTGCTCTGTGACCTTAAGTAAATCCCTCAACCTCTCTGAACTTCTTATTTGCAAACTGGGATAGTAGTGAGAGTTAAGGTAACACACATAAAATACAGTAGACTAGTAGTGAAAAACCATGACTTAAAAGCCAGACAACCTAGACTGGAACTCCACTCTGCCACTTGCTCCAGGCTCATGATCTGGGCAGACTGCTTAACAGCTACCTGCCATGTATGCAAAGGAGTTAATAATGGCTACCGTGAAAGAGTTATCTTGCGGGCTGAATGAGTGAGCATTTGTAAAACACTGAAAGCAGAACCTGACAAGCAGTAAACATCCAGGAAGTAGTAGCTGCTGTAATTCATTATTATATTGTTATTGCCAAGAGAGGATGCAAGGCTATACCGCAGGAGTGGAGGCAGTGGGGAGGACAGAACAACAGACTTGAGAACCAGAATGTAGAAACTAACAAATCCATGCCCAGAGGGAGACAGAACTTCAAGTTCCTCAGCTGAGAGTGTTCAGCTTGCAAACTTCCCTGACAGAGAATTCACTACCTCTCACAACAACCAGTTCTATTCAGTTATTTTTATTTTTTTGAGATGGGGTCTCACTCCATCAACCAGATTGGAGTACAGTGGCATGATCCTCTGCTCACTGCAACTTCTGCCTCCCAGGTTCCCATCCCAGCCTCCAAGCAGCTGGGACTACAGGCGCACACCACCACACCTGGCTAATTTTTTGTATTTTTAGTAGAGACAGGGTTTCGCCATGTTGCCCAAGCTGGTCTCCAACTCCTGATCCACCCGCTTGGGCTCCCAAAGTGCTGGGATTACCACACCCAGTCCAGTTATTCTTTCTGCTGAAGGAATCTGTCTCTTAGCACTTCAAACCACTGGTTTTAGTTCTGGTACCCAAAGCCACACAAAATAAGTCTCACCTCTTTTCCACAGTGAGCCTTTATTTAGAGGCAGCTCTTCCACCACCCCCTCACCCTTTCTACAGGCTGAAGGTCCCCAGTCCTCAAAACCATGCCTGTGCCATGTCATTTCTTATCTGCATGGAATCCTGGCACCTCTCCTCTAAGTATATTTCATTCATCTGGTTGACAGATGGTGAAAATAAGAAGTATATTTCAGTTTGTCTCTGCCCCTTTTAAAATCTTTTTTTTTTTTCTGAGATGGAGTCTCACTGTCACCCAGGCTGGAGTGCAGTGACACGATCATAGCTCACTACAACCTCCACCTCCCAGGTTCAAGTGATTCTCCTGCCTCAGACTCCCAAGTAGCTAGGATTACAAGTATGCATCACTATCCCTGACTTATTTTTGTATTTTTAGTAGAGATGGGGCTACCCCATGTTGGCAAGGCTGGTCTCGAACTCCTTACCTCAGGTAATCTGCCTGCCTCGGCCTCCCAAAGTGCTGGGATTACAGGCATGAGCCACCGTGCCCAGCCATCTCTGCCCCTTTTAAACTGGTGCTCAGCACAGGATATGGACAACAGTCTTTGGACTGCACAGAGATCAGCCCAGTTCTGCCTCTCACCTGGCAATCAGGTATCAAGCACGATCGGGTATCAAGCACCATCATGTTTTGTTTTTGTCTCTACCACTAGACAGACAATTCCTATATTGTGTTTATAGGGCAGAGACCATATTCATCACTATAATGGTGATTCCTAGTACCTAGTACAAAACTACTGCTCAATTCATCCCAACCCAGGAATTCCAGCTTCTTGCAGGGGTTGCTGGATTAGTTTATCATACACGCTTGCAGCAAGAACGAGAAGGGCAGCTGGGCATGGTGGCTTACGCCTGTAATCCCAACACTTTGGGAGGCCGAGGCAGGCAGGTCACAAGGTCAGGAGTTGGAGACCAGCCTGGCCAATATGGTGAAACCCCGTCTCTCCTAAAAATACAAAAATTAGCCAGGCATGGTGGTGGCGCCTGTAGTCCCAGCTACTCGGGAGGCTGAGGCAGGAGAATCGCTTAAACCTGAGAGGCAGAGGTTGCAGCGAGCCTAGACGGCACTATTGCACTCCAGCCTGGGTAACAGAGCAAGAATCTGTCTAAAAAAAAAAAAAGAGAGAGAGAGAGAAAGAAAGGCTCTCTTGCTCATTTCGCCCTCTATTTTAACTCCATCCAGCAGGTTCTTCCCATCTAGAGACTCCTGGCTCTGGTCTGGCGCCCTTTCTTCCACGACTTTTCCCTCTTGTGTCCCCCGCAATCATTCATACAACCCATACAGCTCATTTTTGACCTAAGCCCGGGTTCCCCCCTCATTCTACATGCTATTTTAGGATATACTCCTCCAAGAAGTCTGTCCTGACCAACCCCATTCTCCTTCCCAGCAGCCACATTTGGTCTGGGAAAACCTTGTCCTTTGCCCCACAATGAGCAGTAAGCAGCAGGGCCCACCAGATTAGGGTCTGCAAAGTCTCATCCCTCTGGTGCCCCCGAGGGGCAGAAGCTAACAGCCTCCTTCTCAAGCCTGGCTGGAGGGCAGGGTACGCCTATTCCCACCTAGAGGGTAGAGTCCGGACCACGGATTCCTCAGGCTTGGCTCATGCCCTTCCTCCTCCTCCTCCTCACGCCCAGGTGCGACCTCCGCAGGTATGCGTCAACCTCCCCGCGGCGCTGAGCCACAAGAGACAGGCTGAAGGCAAAAAAACAGAAAGCTATTTGGCTTCATATCAAGAGACTCGGGAGGGACGCAGGAAGGAATGCCCGCCCGGGTCCCGTACCTCTCGCCGCCACTATGCGCGAACCTCCACCGTCCAAGGAACCAGGGAGGACTGGAGTCCTCGGGTGTCTCGGGGGCGGCGCCCCGCGCCCAGGCTGACCGGACTCGGAAGCTGGAGGAGCACCCTCGTTCCGCCACCCCGGGGGATGCCCACGCCTGCACAGGAGAGGGGCCAGACAGTTAAAACAGCTCCCACCTCCCCTAACCCCGTCCACGACCGGGCTCTCAGAGACCAGACTACCCCGGTCGGAGGCTGAGCCGGGACCGGAAGCCGCACCGCCCCCAGCGCGCCGGGAGGCTCACCAGATCCCGCGGCCCCGGAGGGGGCACGTGCCCAGCTGGCCGGGCCTCCGCACGCATGCAGCCGGACGCATCGTCCGCATAGTCACAGGAGCATATACAGATAGTCATGCGTTGCTCTCTGATCTGGAGGCTACTCCTTTCGTGGTTCTTTCTCGGATTCTAAGATTTGATGGTGAGGAAGATCCCCCTCATATGGACGAGTCCATTCAGCCCACCTCTGAGAACGCAGTGGTGTTTCGGCCGGCACAACTCACTTCCGCCATAGAGACGGGAGGGAAGGAAGGAGCCGGATGGGCTCTCCGCCGCCTCCCTAGGCCGAGCGGAGTCATCGGCTGCGTGCCCGGCCCGTGAACGCAGACATGTGCCCAACTCAGTCCAGACTGAGAGGCCTGGAAAGGGCACCGATCTCCACAAGATGAGGGGCATACCCCGTAGAGAGAGGTCCTACACCTCTGTGCTGTAGGGTGCCCAGTGGATTGCAAAACTTGAGCTTGTTCAATGTGCATAACTGGATCCCCGGCCTCCCAACCACACAGATGCTGGAGAAAGGGCTTCATCTCGAAGTGTTGGCTTTATACAGCAGCACTACTTGGTACTCCCCAGTGACCAGTCTGGTGACAGTCCTTTGGAGACTTGTAATTCGGCCATTGCTTCTCTGCGTGACCCTTGACATCACTCATCCTTTCTGATGCTCTCTATAAACAGGCGGCTGTGGTGAGGATCACAGGAGATAACTCATATGAAAGATATGTGACCTGTAAAGTGTAATATCAGTACAAGTGTACTTTTAGTGTTGTGTAACTTCCTGGAACGTGTCCGGTTCTCCATGCAGGTTGTAAGCCAGGAGCAGACAGGGGTTAGAGAGCTCTGTTAATGCCAGCACGCCCTTTAGGAGGCACTCTTAAGATGTTACTTAGGGATTAGGATGCTGTTTTCTGGCCACTGGGGTACCTCACGGCTGTGATCCCAACCCTTCGGGAAGCTGAGGATGGAGCATCACCTGAGGCTAGGAGTTCAAGAGCAGCCTGGTCAACATAGTGAGACTCTCCCATCTTTGAAATAAAAATTTAAAACTTAGCTGGACATGTTGGTGTGCCCTTGTTGTCCCAGCTACTTCAGAGGCTGAGGTGGAGGATCACTTGAGTCCAGGAGGTTGAGGCTGCAGTGAGCCATAATCACACCAATGCACTCCAGGCTGGATGACAGAGCAAGATCCTCTCTCCAAAAAAAAAAAAAAAAAAAAAGCCAGGTGTGGTGGGTCACACCTGCCTGCAATCCTAGCATTTTGGGAGGCAGAGGCGGGCGGATCACGAGGTCAGGAGTTCAAGACCAGACTGGCCAACGTGGTGAAATCCCATCTCTACTAAAAAAATACAAAGATTAGCTGGGCATGGTGGCTCATGCCTGTAATCCCAGCTACTTGGGAAACTGAGGTAGGAGAATTGCTTGAACCAGGACCCAGGAGGTGAAGGTTGCAGTGAGCTGAGATCGCACTGCTGCACTCCAGCCTGGGCTACAGAGTGAGACTCCACCTCAAAAAAAAAAAATTTAGCCAGGCTTGGTGGTGGGCACCTGTAATCCCAGCAACTTGGGAGGCTGAGGCAGAAGAATTGCTTGAACCTGGGAGGTGGAGGTTGCAATGAGTCGAGATTGCACCACGTGCTCCAGTCTGGTGCAATCTCAGCTGGAGATCTGTCTCAAAAAAAAAAAAGCTTCTTTTCCTAATGCATGCTTTTATCTCCCAAAATAATAGATAATAACAGATAACATTTATTAGGTGGGAATGGTCATGATTTTAAATATCATATATGTGTACATATAAACTTAAACCTGATGCTAATCAATCCTGCAACATAGATAAGAAATTGGGCTGGGTGCGGTGGCTCATGCCTGTAATCCCAACATTGGGAGGCCAAGGCAGATGGATCATTTGAGGTCACCAGCCTAGCCAACATGGTGAAACCCCGTCTCTACTAAAAATACAAAAAAATTAGCTAGGAGTGGTGGCACACACCTATAGTGCCAGCTACACAGGAGGCTGAGGCAGGAGAATTGCTTGAACCCGGGAGGCAGAAGTGGCAGTGAGTAGAGATCACGCCACTGCACTCCAGCCTGGGCGACAGAGTGACACTGCATCTTAGAAAACAAAAAGGCTGAGTGTGGTGGCTCACATCTGTAATCCCAGCACTTTGGGAGGCAGAGGCCGGGGGATCATGAGATCAGGAGTTTGAGACCAGCTTGGTCAGCATGGTGAAACCCCTATTAAAAACACAAAAAATTAGCCAGGAGTGGTGGCCCTCGCCTGTAATCACAGCTACTTGGGAGGCTGGGTCAGGAGAATTGCTTGAATCTGGGAGTTGGAGGTTACAGTGAGCGGAGATTGTGCCACTGCACTCCAGCCTGGGTGACAGAGTGAGACTCCATCTCAAAAAAGAAAAAGAAAGAAAATAAAAGAAAGTGATGCTGGGAGAGGCTAAGTAAGTTCCCCAAGGTCACTCAGTAAATAACAGAGCCTGGAGTTCAAGTCCAAGTCTGTTTACCACTGCAGGGGCTCGGGAGCTCTCTTTCTGGCTGGCTTCTCCAGCCAACTATTTCCTATGCTCCAGCACTCTCCAATACACCTCCACCCACCAGTAGTGTCCTGGTAAATACTTGGCACCTGCTCTTGGGTAGGGGAAATGCCTTGATTTGTAGCATTTGCCCATTTTCTACCATACCCGATTTCAAGCAACAAGACATCACTGAACGCGGAGTCCAGAATGGATGGATTATTGCATCTTGATTATCAGGGTTAGAATCAGCTCCTGAGGGCCAGTACCAGCTGGCTCCAGCACACCACTGTCACCACGTCACCCTCAGGCTTCCTGCTCCTGCTCAGTTGTTCCAAAGCCAGCTAGCTGCACGAGCTCCTCCTGCTCTGGCTGACCTTCCCCCATCATCTGTTCCCTGTCCTCTTTCCTTCCTCCCCACAGTTCTGCCCTTTTACAGCCCTTGCCTCATATCCCAGGTGTGGCTGCCTCTCTTGGGAGAGAGAGAAAGCTGCCTGCCCTGTAGACCAGCAACCTCTTCAGGAGGCTGCAGAAAACCAGAAGGCAATTAGGACGGAATATTGAGAGGGAAGGCTCTGTAAGGAGCTGAAGGAGAGGGAATCAAGGGAGGTTGGAACCAGTCCTGGGGTGGAGGAGGTGCCAGAGCCTACCCCCAGGGACTGCCAGTGAGTAAGGGGGTGACTGATCTCTCTAGCCACTGACACACTCCGTCTCAGAGCCCTTTGCTGCCACTAGCCTGACATCATCATCATCATCATCACTACCAGGCATTGAGCCTTACTAGGTACCATGCCGGCACTCAGGCCCTATTTTGCTGATTTTTCCAACTACCTTTCAAAGTAGATACAATCCACCTCCCCATCACCCCACTCTCTGATTTACTGATACTGTAACTGAAGCCCAGTGATACATAGCGATGCATAGTGGTTTGCTGTGATGCTTAATTTTATGTGTCAACTTGACTGGGACACAGGGTGCCCAGACATTTGGTTAAGTATGATCCTGCGGTGTTCTGATGAGACTAACATTGGAATCGGCAGACTGAGTGAAGCGGATTTTCCTCCCCTGAGTGGAGCGACTTTATCCGGTCTGCTGAAGGCCTAGTAGAATAAAAACGTTGACCCTCCAGTGAGTAAGGGGAACTCCTGCCTGCCTGCCTTAGAGCTGGGACATCAGTCTTTTCCTGCCTTCAGACTCCAACTGCCTTCAGGTATCGGTTTCTCCTGGGTCTCGAGACTGAAATGACACCAGCAGCTCTCCTGACTTCAGATCCTAGAACTTGTCACCCAATTCTTTATAATAAACCCCTCTCAGCCAGGCATGGTGGCTCACACCTCTAATCCCAGCACCTTGGGAGGCCAAGGCGGGCAGATCACTTGAGGTCAGGAGTTCAAGACCAGCCTGCCCAACATGGCAAAACTCCGTCTCTACTAAAAATACAAAAATTAGGCTGGCACAGTGGTGCACACCTGTAATCCCAGCTACTCAGGAGGCTGAGGCAGGAAAATTGCTTGAAACCAGGAGGTGGAGGTTGCAGTGAGCCGAGATAGCACCACTGCACTCCTGCCTGGGGACAGAGCAGACTCTGTCTCAAAAAAAACAAAATAGAAAGTGACACATTCAGAGTGAAGAGGAGTCCCAAGCCCTGCTCTCAGCAAGTCCCAGGCACCAGGAGAAAACCAGGACAGCTTGAGAGAGCACCAGGCAGCAACCTAAGGAGATGGCAGGGAAGGGGGATGATTCCAGGAAGAAGTGGGAATTACTCTAGGAAGGCTTCCTGGAGAAGGGAGAAGGAAAAAGCTGGGGGTGGGGGCAGGGGCAGAGAGTGAAAACTGAGGGTTCTGGGTGAGAGAGGCAAGAATAGAGAGGGCAGACTTTTCAGCCAGAGCCTAGAGCACGGCCGCCAAGCAGGCAGACGACTGGCTAAGACTGTCTGAGCCATGCCTGCAGCAAAGGCCTATGGGGAGACCTTGAGGGCCAACCCAAGACCTTGGGAGCAGGCAGCTGGCTTTGCACGGCGAGCGCGGCCTCGGATGGCCCCAACTCATCCTGGTGTGTGCCCAGGGGAGAGCGGAGCCCCAAAGCTGCCCCTGCAAGCCACCCCAGCCGCTCCAGAGCTGACCCCAGTGGCATCACAGGGAGTGACTCAAGTCCCAGCAACAACAATGAGTGCGACTGACGTCAGGCCAGGGCTCCTGACTGTGGCCGGGCTGGCTGGAAAGCCAGCACCCTGCCTGCCGACCCTCCTGCCTGGGCAGGCTGCAGGGGTGAGGAGGACCAGCTGTCCCCCTCTGACATCTGCCCCCTGGGATCACGGGCAGGTGCTCTTCGACCTCCCACCCTTTCTGGGATGTCACTTCCAGACCCCACCCTCCCTGACAGGGAAAATGGCTGGGTGGATGAAAGAGTAGCAGAGAGTGTGAGAAAGGGGCGCCTCCAGCCCCAACCTGCCAACCTTACCAGGCAGCCTGGAGACCAGGAGCAGGCCGGGAGTGGCCTGTGTCTGTTCGTTCTCCTAAGGACCCAGGGATCTGTCCATGTTGGGGCAGGGTTGTGTGGCTTTTTATTTCCAGAAAGGTTTGTGTTTGTCTGGCCAAGTTGGGGTAAGGGCCAGGCTTTATTTCTGTGCATCGGTCCCTTGGGGGTGCGGGACTGTCTCTCCTTGCTGCAAGCTCTGTTCCTTTGAGGGCTGTTCCGAGTATCTGTCATTCTTTAAGGAAGGAGATTCTGGACTACTGTGCTTGCAAAAGGTTGGGGGGCTGTTTACCACCCCTGATAAGGGATTCTCTGTCTCTGCCTCTAGGAGTTGTTTTTCTGCTTCTGGTTTCTTGTGGGGCAGGGGGCATCTCTCTATCTGTCCTCATGGTATCCCAGCTACCTGGGGCCCTGGGGTGGAGTCCAGGTTTCCTGCGTGGCTATGCCAAGGCTGAGTTCCCTGGTTGGAGGCCTCTTCCCTCTGATGTTCTCTGGGCTAGGAGCATAGCGACAGTCAGCACCCTGCCTGCCTGGCTTGCAGCTGGGCACTGCTCCCTGCTAACGCAGCATGTACCCAGACAGCCCCCCCGCACTCCCCTCCTGTCCCAGCTGCCACCCCCAGCCCCTGCAGCCATGCCAGGCCTGATTTATGGTCCTGAGTTGGGGCTGGACAGTGCCAGCACCTGGGTCAGACCTTGAGGAGACCTCAAGTGGCACCCCTGGCCTGGCAGGGTCAGGGCCCAGGAGGAGGCGATGGGGAGCCAGGGTGCTGGGGAGGATGAACAGAGCAGGGGCCCAGGCATGGCAGGCAGGATGTGGACGCCAAGGCCTCAAGGGCCCATAGGCTTCCCGCAGGCTCCAAGTCCAGCTGAAGACTCAGAAATGTGCCTCCTGCCCTGAGAAGTTCTCTGGCTTGTGTAGAAAAGGAGATACTGGGAACTGAAAAGGCCTTTTCCTCTACTTTGCACTGACTCCTTCCTGTACTCACCATCAGAGGCTGGAGGTTTCAAACTCCCACTGGCCAGCCCAGGCCAAACCCAACAGTCTCCCAACCTGGGGCCCAGGAAGAGGCCTGAGAGCCTGAGGCTGGAGCAAGGATGGAGGCAGAGGTTTGGGGCAGAGACTGCAGCCTGGATCTGAGCACTGGCTGCCCCAGGGAAGACAGAGCAGCTGCCCCCGGAGCTATGAGGCTGCAAGGCCAGGCCCTGGCAGGGCTGGATGCCAGATGGACAGAGGCTCACCCCTTCAACCTCATCCTCTGAGGAGGCCCAGTGGCCCTGGGGCTCTGCTGCAGCCAGGGACTTTGGGAGAGGGGCTGGGACTTGTCCAGATGTCCAAGCTACAACTCTCTTAGGATTCCAGGCCCAGTTCACACAAGGCCCCCCAGCACTGCCTCACCAGGGTCCAACTCTGACGTGTCTGGCACAACTGCCTCATAGCTGCAAGAGGATGTCACTGCTGACTGTCCAGGGACCACACAGCGGCCTCTGACAAGTCTCTCTCATGCTGCTCTCTGCAGTAGCAGAGCCGCCACCACACAGCTGAGCATGCTGGGTGCTCAGAGCAGGCCATGTGGACAGGATACCCCATTATATCACGGTCACCAATGACCTTCAAGAGCTTCTCACCTCCTAGAGGCTGACCCTTACCACCCACCTTCATAATTGAGACCAGGTGGCTGGAGCCCAGGTGTGGGGCAGCTTCCTCCACATTGGCCCCCGGGAAGGGCTACAGGCACAGACCCCGGGGGCGCAGAGCTCCCCCTCAGTCCCCAGACCTCAAAGCCACCCCTCCCGAGTCACAGTGGCACCTCAGGACTGAGGAGGGGGCCAGGGCCTCAGGGCACTGGGCCCAGCGTGGGTGGGGTGGGGGAGACAGAGAGGCAGGCTTCCTGGGTCTCCGCGTAAGGACAAACAGCAGACTTTGAGGCCTTGGAAAATCCCGCCTGGGATTCCAGGCCCTGCCGGCGTCACTGCCTTTTGACTATTGTCCCCGTCGGAAATGGGCCCAGCCCCCCCCCCAGCCTGGACAGAGCAGCCATTGTGAGGCCCCATCAGGCTCAATGCCCCCTTGTTTGCCCTCCCATCCTCTAGCAAGACTTGGAGGCCAGTTCTTCCAGTTGCTGAGTGGAAAGAAAGGGCCTGCCTCTGGGCTCCAACCCTTGGGCGGGGCAGGGTGGGGCAGGGTGGGCTGGAGGAACCAGCCCCCCCAGCCCGTACCCTAATTGCCAGGGTCCCAAAAAGGAACCACCATCAATGGAGCTTCTTATTTTTGAGGCCCTGGGCAGGGAGACCTAGTGGTGAAGTAGCCAGAAGCACCGGGCTCAGCTACTCACAAGCCAGGTGACCTTGGGAAAGTCATATCCTCTCTCTGAAGTGAATTCTCCTTTGTAAAAACAATAGCTGACATTTATTGGATGCTTGCTATGTGCCAGGCACTGCAAGAAACACTTTGCATGTATTCACTTCTATAATCTTTATAGCAACTTCATAAAATAGATTCATTTTCTCATTTCTAGGTGAAAATACTGAGACACAGCAAGGTGAACTAACCTGCCCCAAATCACTCAGCTGGTCAGAGCTGGAGCCAAGTGTAAGCCCAGCCCGAGGGCTCCAGGGTCCCTGCTTTCACCATTCTCCCATGGTGCTCCTGTGAGGTTCTGACAGTCAGGCTGTCCTCAGCGGATGGCAGCGAGGGCTGGAAATCACGTGTCAGCTGAAAATAGTCTGCCGGGGTGGACTCTGCTATCTACCTGCTAGCCTCGTCCGTAAATACGGAGATGAACCCTAGGCTCCACCCCACTCCCAGCCCTGGCCCCTCCCTGAACCTCTGAGCAGCCCTCTTGCCTTCCCTAGCAGCCTGTCCTTTCCCTACCTCTGTCTGTGCTACAGGCAGGGAGCTGGAGGTGAGTCACCCAAAGGAGAAGGACTCGGTCCAGCTGGCCGGCAGATTTCCCAGCAAGCTTTACTCCTAACCAGTCTCACCTCCCCATTCAACAGATGGGAAACTGAGACTCAGTGAGGAGGAGGGGCTTCTCAGCATGGAGTTGGAGGCAGGGCTGCAAACAGAAGCCCACCTACTGATGGCCCTGTGTCGTCAGGTACAGGTACAGCTGACAAAGGCTCACTCAGGAGTCAGGCACGGGGGAGGAGCATGATGCCAGGGATACAGGCTTAGAAGTCCACAGCACTGCTGGGAGCATCAGTCCCAGGGTTGGGGCCTTCATCCGTCTCCCTACTCCAGCCTCACATGGACCCTTCAGCAGGCCTGAGGCTGGACTGTGCTCCCAGAATCCAAGTGAGGGCGAGTTGATGAGGGCTCCCTGCAAGCTGTGGCTGGAGCACTGGGGAAGGCCCTTGTTTCCCCTCATTCACAGCTGAGCCCTATTCTATTGGGCCCCATCCAGTCGGGGCTGACCCCTCAGCCAGCCAGTTCCCAGGGGCCATGGAGGTGGAGATCAGGAGTCCTGGGCCAAGGGCCATGAGTAACAGCTGTTAAGGCACTGCCTTCAGGGCTCTCACCAGGTCCTAGAGAAGGAAACAGTGAGGCCGGGCAAGCACTGAGCACAGGAAGGGTGCCGGGCCCTGCATGGTGACAAACTTCTGTGGGCCTCAGGTTAGGTCCATCTGGGTTTGTGTTTCTCAAAATGGTGGCCCCAGACCACCTGCATCACAAGCATTGGAGTACCTGCTAAAACTGTAAGTTCGTGGGCCCCCTTGCCTCCCCAAACCTGGGTCTCGGGGCAGATCCCAGGAATCTGTATTTCAAGCCAGCTGACTAAACTGAGCCTGGGGTTGGATCACAAGGCGGGTGGATCACAAGGTCAAGAGATCGAGACCATCCTGGTACAATCGAGAGACCTCAGTACAATCTTCTTGCCGAGAAGGTGAGGGCCACCAGCTCCCTGGATCCTCTTGCTGGGGTGGCAGGAGAGTGGGGATGAATGTTGAGAATGGGGATGTCAAAAAACTGAATACAAGGCCTGGCGTGGTGGCTCACGCCTGTAATCCCAGCACTTTGGGAGGCTGAGGTGGGTGGATCACCTGAGGTCAGGAGTTCGGGACCAGCCTGACCAACATGGAGAAACCCTGTCTCGGCTAAAAATACAAAATTAGCTGGGCATGGTGCTACGTGCCTGTAATCCCAGCTACTCCAGGAGGCTGAGGCAGTAGAATCACCTGAACCCGGGAGACAGAGGTTGCAGTGAGCCAAGACCATGCCACTGCTCTCCAGCCTGGGAAACAAGATCAAAACTCTGTCTCAAAAAAAAAAACCTGAATACAACAGCTACTTATTACCAATTTGGGCTTACTTCAACCCAGCCCAAGCTAAGCTTTATACACATAATCCTCTGACCCTAAAAGCTGTGTGAGGCCGGGTCTATTCCTGTTTTATGGATGTGGAAATCAAAAATCAGAGAATAATGTGTCCAGGTTCGGAACCGTGACAACCCTGAGATCTACAGCCAAGGCTATAGGACCCTGCAGTAATCCCTGGGCTAATCAGCCACTGCAGGCCCCAGCAATGAGCTAGGCACGTTTCGTGGAGGCGTCCCACGTGCTAGAAATTAGTCTAAGAGCTTTGCATAACAACCTCGTGAAGCAGGTGTCATTATTATCCACCTTTTACAAATGAGTACACTGAGGCCTGATAGCTCAGGCTGGTAATATCCAAGTTTCATCTCGAGCAACCCACCTTTTATGTAATGACGGGGTGTGCCTGGTGGGAGAGGGGAAAGGGGGCCTCAGAGACACACTAAATCCCAGTTCCAGCTACATGTCTATTTTTTATTCAATATATTAAATATATTAATCAGAAAAGTCACATACTATAAATCCATGAAAATACACAAATATAAATGTCAGAATCTGTCATTTGTCTTCTTTCTAGAGTGACAGTTTATATACATGTGGAAGGAGGGTAGGAAGAGAGAGCCAGCAGGAGGCTGGAAAGGCTGCCCAGGCTAGTGGAGCCCGTCCCTTCCTCCTCCCCCCACTCCCACCTCAATCTCTTTCTTCCTGGGCTTATTTACAGCACGGCAGTATGTGTTAAAAACATTTTTTTATCTTACAAAAAACATAAAGGCCAGGGCCAGGCTGCAGGGTAAGACAAATCGTGGGGTCACCCCCATGAATGCATCCCCCTCCCCGAGGGCTTGAGCTCCCTGCAAACCTCCTGGAACAGGTGATAAGGTGGAGTCATTCTGCAGCTCAAGCCCAGGCTTGGGGGTGCTCTGGGGGTCCGTGGACTAAAGGCACGTGGGGTGGCATATGAGAGTGCACATGTGCACGTGTGTTCCCAGACGGGGGTCAGAAGGGCAGCGTGTCCATGAAGATCTTGTCGATGATAGGTGGAGGGGGCACCAAGTCCTCCAGCTTGAGGTAGAAGATGCGCTGCAGGCCCTGGGTGCACAGGGTCCGCAGCTCAGGCAGTTTACCCAGCAGACGTGACAGGCAGCTGGCCGGCTGGGGGTCACCTGCCACAGCCGCCACGTGCTCCTTCAGGCAGCTGGCGATGCGGTTCTGCAGTTCCTCCACCCGCCGTGGCTCCTGCAGCCCATGCCGGTCTGTGGGGAGGGTACAGAATTAGCCCCACATCTGAGAACCAGGCCCCAAAGCCCCAGCCTCCCCTAGGCCCCTAAAACTGCTGCTCCTGGCCAACTCTCATGCTCTGCTGGCACTTCACAAAAGCATGTTCACATGTTGGCATTAGTAAGCATCATCACAAGTCTGAGAACCAATAACCCTCATGATTCTCATGCTCCAAGTGAGAACCTGAGGCCCAGGAGGTTAATGACTTGCCCAAGGTTAGGAAATAAAATCCTAACCTAGATTTTCTGGCTAGACCATTGGGTTTTTAAAATCTAGACTGTACTGAGAAGGCCCAGACTCAGAATTCAGCACTCCCTCAGCCCAGAGTACCTCTGATTGTGTTCTATATAGTTGAGTCCCCTGTGCAATTTAAGTGAAAAAAAGGAATGAGGGTGAATTCTTTGCTTTAAAAAACAAAGACAGGTGGCTGGGTGCAGTGGCTCATGCCTGTAATCCCAGCACTTTGGGAGGCCGAGGTGGGTGGATCACGAGGTTAAGAGATTGAGACCATTCTGGCCAATATGGTGAAACCCCATCTCTACTAAAAATACAAGTTAGCAGGGCATGGTGGTGCCCAAATGTAGTCCCAGCTACTCAGGAGGCTGAGGAAGGAGAATTACTTGAACGCAGGAGGCGGAGGTTGTAGTGATCCAAGATCGTGCCCCTGCACTCCAGACTGGCAACAGAGCGAGACTCTGTCTCAAAAAAAGAAAAAGACGGCCGGGCGCGGTGGCTCATGCCTGTAATCCCAGCACTTTGGGAGGCCGAGGCGGGTGGATCACGAGGTCAAGAGATCGAGACCATCCTGGTCAACATGGTGAAACCCCGTCTCTACTAAAAATACAAAAAATTAGCTGGGCATGGTGGCGTGTGCCTGTAATCCCACCTACTCAGGAGGCTGAGGCAGGAGAATCGCCTGAATCCAGGAGGCGGAGGTTGTGGTGAGCTGAGATCACGCCATCGCACTCCAGCCTGGGTAACAAGAGCGAAACTCCTCCGTCTCAAAAAAAAAAAGAAAGAAAGAAAGAAAAAAAAAAAGATCTGAAAAGCTCTGCATTCAGATTCCATCCTGCAGGACTACCTTTACATAAAGTCCAAAACAAGCATGGCCAATCTGATCTGCACTGGCAGAAGTCACAATGAAGGGCCGGGCGCAGTGGCTCACACCTGTAATCGCAACAATTTAGCGGCCAAGGCAGGAGGACCTCTTGAGCCCAGGAGTTCGAGACTAGCCTGGACAACATGGTGAGATCTCATCTTATATATTTTTTAATTTTTTAAAATAAAAAATAGAAACCAGAGTAGTGGTTACCCTTGGGGAGGGCAAATGACTAAAAGGGGCCCAATCACGGGTCCTGGAGGGCAGTTATGTGCTCTTTCTTGACCAAGATGCTGGTTAGGTAAGTGCAGTTTATGAAAATTTACCATCCGTGTACTTTTCTACATGCAGCGTAATCGACAGGAAGGTTTTAAAAACAAACCAATACCCTAGGCCACATACCTGACACCTGCCATGTATATCCTGGGCAATCTGGGGCTAAAGGCTGTCTTAAGCTTTAGAGCTGGAAGCAGCTGAGCCTGTCTCCAGCTCCTGTGGTCCCTACTTTACTGTCAGTATGAGCCTAGGGCAGTGCAGGGGCCAGAAAATGCTAGATCCCAGCCCACCAGACTCCCTGGGACAGTGCCCTCCTGAGGACCAGTCAACTCCCTGACACCCACCCCCCTTGGGTCATCCCCTGGGTCATCCAGGGCAGGACCTGGTGTGGTGCTGGTCACTTACCGGTGATGAGGACAAGAGCAGACAGGCAGGCGAAGGCAGGGACATCAACAACCAAGCTGTGCAGGGACCTTGAGAAGGCCAGGATGCTGTCAATCCAGTCGCCAAAGCCACGGGCACACTGCAGCCGGTGCAGCACCAGGCCTGAGCAGAAGATGAGCTTGCCCTCGCCTGGCTTAGACCTGGGAGGCAGATGGGTTGAAGAGTGATCAGGGTGGCTCACAGGCAGGTGTAATGAGGGAAAGGGGCTGGGCAGTCAGTGGGCAGCTCACCGGTATGCCAGGCGGAGGATGAAGAGCTCCAGGAAGGCTGACTCCAGCAACAGGTCCTGGTCAGCCAGTGACAGCTCCGCAAAGCCAGGGATCTTTTCCGCCCACTTGCGGATGACCTCCAGGGAACCGGAAAGCAGGTCGTAGAACTGCTGCACATCCCCAGCATCTTCCTTCCCAAAGTGGGGCAGCACCAGCTCCTGGAACTGGGAGGATGGTCCAGTTGGGTCAGCACCCCAGGCAGGGCCCTGCACCCACCACCACGTACGGCTGTGTCAGACACTTGGATGCCAGATCCCGGGAGTGGTAGTAGCCCTGAGATCCACCCCAGGCTCTCGATTGCCAAGTCTCACATATTAACCCAGAGCTGCAGCTGCCAAAAGGACACATTTTTCTAATTGGCCACCTGCCTTAAGGGGTGTATTTTCCCATCTGGTCACCCCAGAGGGGTGATCAACAGAACTGGAGGGGGTAGCTTTTCTTTCTTTCCTTTTTAAACTTCCTTTCTCACTCAATCCTTCCAGAGGGGTAGTTCTCCTAACATGCACAAAGGCATCATGTGTGCTCACACCAGCCCTCCCCAAGCCAGGCGAGGGATGTGGCAGGCGGGGCCTCACCTTGGAGTAGTCCAGTTTGGCAGTGCTGGGCCCTGAGTCCAGGTGTGCACGGACCAGGGAGGTGAGGAGATTGGCAGGGGAGGCATCTGGGGACTGCTTGGGTTTTGAAGGTAGCCGGCCCCTCCGCCCCTTCAGGCTGTCTGTTCGTACAACTGCAAAGGAATGGGTAGGGTTGAGAAAGGAAGGGATCTAAGGAAGGACCTCTCAGTCCAAGCCATGCACACTACTGCTGAGACGCAGCCCACCAAGTCCCTAGGACCCAGAGCCCCTGAGATATAAGGTACCCTAGAGGGACCCCCTCCCAGCCACCACCCTCACGATCCAGGCAGGTGGAAGCTGCCTCCCCCTAAAGCCTGGGGTTCAGAGGGGGAATGGAAATAAGATGTGTCCTCCCCTGGGTCATCCAGGGCAGAAGGCTTAGGGCCCTGGGGTCCCATCCCACTCAAGCCTACCCTCGCCCTGCTGGGCCGCTCCCCAGCCACACACCTTCCTTCACCATGCCCACGGCCAGGCATTTCTGGAAGCGGCAGAACTGGCAGCGGTTTCGCCGCCTCTTGTCCACAGGGCAGTCCTTGTTGGCCAGGCAGATATACTTGGCGTTTTTCTGCACTGTGCGCTGGGTGGGGGGGCAACACGGAACAGGCTGTCAGAGTGTGGGGTGGGGAGGGGGGAGCCCAGGAGAGAGGACTGTCCAGATCCTGCTGCCATTGCAGACAAAAGCACTCTCTGTTCACAGCTATTTTTCTAACATTTGGGTGGCAAGGGAGGGAGAGATAGGGGGTTGGGGGGAAAGAGAAGTCTTGAAGACACTGGAGGAGGTTTCTCCCCCGAGGAAGGGCCCAAGACACAATACTGGGGGCCAGAGTCTCCCCAGCAATCCAAACACCTGTACTTTTTCATGGGCGTTTGTCCGCCTGCCCTCTCCCTGGGGCAGACAGGAGAGGGCCAAGGGGCTGGGGGTGGGGACGGGAAGCTAAGCAGGCACCAGCACTGGGACAAATACACAGCCTGTTCTCAAGTCCACCCCCAGCCCTCAAGAACTAAACCCTCTGCTGGGATCCTTTCATCTCATGCCAGGAACACAAGAGCCTAGGGTCACTCTTTCCCACTAGAACCTTGAGTTAGGGGAGGACCGGCAGAGGAAAACCAGAGACTGGCCAGGCACCCCTCCAGCCCGTATCTCACAGCTCACTCCAGCTCTCTGCAACCCCATGGGCCCCTGAGTGTCCTGGTGAATCAAAGATTCCAGCCCTGGCATCATGGGTCTCCAGGAAGGCAGCCCACCTGGCAGGTCTGAGCCCATCCTACAGGACAAGACTTGGCTGGGAGGAGAACCCAGGGGTCTACCACAGGTCCCAATGGGATGAAAGGCTAGCCTCTCTCAATTTCCTGTAAAAAGCCCCGCCTAGGGCCGCGCAGTACCTTGAAGAAGCCCTTGCAGCCCTCACAGGTCCGGACACCGTAATGCTGGCACGACGCATTGTCCCCACACACAGCACAGCGGCCTTCACTTCCACCTGGGGCCCCGTTCCGGGCTTTGGTTGAAGTCATGGGTGCATCCAGTATCCCCGAGCCCTCAAGGTGTGGAGAAGTGGGTGCCAAGCATGGGAAGGCTGTCGGCACAGAATAGCTCTCTCCCTCCCCCAGATGGTGGGCAGCCTGTGAAGGGAACAACTTCAGGGGGCTCTGGGCCAGGCTGGGGCTGGGACCGGTGGGAGAGCTGAAGGAAAAGAAGGTTGGAGGCTGTGGGGGCCCAGAGGCTTTGGGCAGCTGCTCTGTCCATGCCCGCAAGCCTTCGTAAGTCTGGCTGGGCGAGAAATGGCTGAATGAGCCGTCCCAGGGAGAGAGCTGGGGCGGCTGGAAGCTGGGCGTGGATGGCGATGGGGCCGAGCAGGGGCTGCCATAGTAGTCAGAGCCGCTGGAGGACAGGGCCTCATCCACTGGGCCGCTCAGGGGGCCAGGGTAGCAGCCGTACACCTGGAAGTCCTCGAACTTGAAGGAGGCAGAGGCAGGGGAGGTGGCTGAGGATGAGGATGTGGAGGAGGCCGAGGAAGAGGCTGAGGAGCATGGCTGGACTGTTCCTGGCAGTTGGTAGAGGAAGGTGTCAAACTCTCCTGTGTAGCCGTCCATGAAGGTGCTGAAGCTGGGCAGGGTAGTCGGGGCAGTGGGAGCCACCTCAGGGCTGGCCAGGTCCATGGTGGGCTTGATGAACTCAGGGGTCACGGGGTCACTTGCCAGGTGGTCACGGGGTCCTGGACTTGGTGCTGGTGTCCCATATTGGGCTTGGATACAGGGCATCTCTGGAGAGGGAGAACCCCAGGGAGGGAAAGGAGAGTCAGTGGGAGAAGCCTACAGCCTGGTCTCAAAGTATTTGGGCCCCAGAGCAGCAAGGTGGCAAGAATCCTAGCCTAAAGATGGGACAGAGGCAGCAGGACCACAGCCCACCACAGCACCCAGGAATCCTGACCCCTGGCCTGAGTACCATCTTGACCTATGTGCCACAAAGCCCCTGGGCAGCGGCCAGCATGAGTGGGCTCCATCAGAAGGCCAGCCACACCCTAGTCAGCCTGGGAACCCTCGGGGAGGCATCCAGCCAGCATTTCTCTGCTGGAACAGGGGGAAGCTGTGTTCCTCCAGCCCCCTGCCCCTCCCCTACTGGGGAAGGCATGGTGGGGGCTGGGAGAAGGGTGAGTGGGAGAGACAGCCCAGGAAAGCCTCAGCCCAGCTCTCAGGAGCAGCTCCCTGCTTGTTTTGCCAACCAGGCACTTCCTGGGAATACTCCCAGGCACACCCTAGTCTTTTTCTCTTCCCCTCACGGTGCCTAGGAAGAACATTGTGGAAATGGAAGAAGCCTAATGCAGAGGTCCCAGCCTGTCCCCCCTCCATCCCAAACCCCCATACTGAGCAAAGGCAGCAAATCCCAAACCCACCCCAGTCCTGCCATCTGGGGCTGGGAAGCCACTCTGCACTGCCCAAGATGCTCCCAGAAGCAAAGAGAAAGGGAGCCTAGGCCTCCTCATCAGTAACCTGGCTCCAGACCTTTAAGGGCCATTTGCTGGGAACAGGGTAAGGGGGAGGAAGGAGACCACAGCTCCCTGGACTTCCAGGAGAATAGAAGACAGTACCTAAGAAGAATCTTCTGCTACCCCCAGTTATTTTAATAAGAGAATTCTCAGAGTCCAGCAGCAGCAGAAGACTTAAGGAGGCTATGCAGGAAGGAGAAGCCTATTGGTGGGTGGGTGGGAGACATTCTGCCTCTGCCTGGGTCCCTCCACAAAAGCAGGGTCTGTGCCCTAAATAATCCAGGAGCTAAGGCAAAGGGGGTCCTGAGGAGCCTAAACAGAGATAGCACCATTCAGACAGATCCTTACATTCACAGAACGGTCAAAAACTAATGCAGAGGAGGCTCCAGGACAATCTCCCTCCCTACCTCCATGCCTGGAGTCTGCATAACTCTGGCCTCACCAGTCAAGGAGAGAAACTGGAGAAGAAATCAAGCTGGAACAGCGAGTACCATAATTAAGGGGTACAGTGATGGGGGCAAAGGCTGTCACCACCTCCTGTCCAAGAGCCCAGGAAGTCCTCTCTGGTCCTAGCCTTTCTTCTAACTCAACGGGCCCTGAACAGGGCACCTCCACCCTAGCCTGACATTCACATAACCAACAAAGACAACAGAGACCCTCGTAGCTCAGGCCCCACCCACCCAGTGGCACCCGTCCACAGGCATGTAGCACCCTGTGAGGTAAGGGTGGCCACATCTGCCTGCACTAGGACAGTCTGGGCAGGGATGGGCTGGGGGTGAAGGAGGAAAGACAGCAGTTGGGCAGAACTGGGCGTTCGTTCCTGCCTTATTCAAATCCTGTTTCTCCACCTGGACGTCCCACATCCGGATCAACCCCCATCAATCCCTCCCCCTTCATGCAAGTTCTTAACAACACAAGATATGGACCTACATCTAGCCTCTTGGGAGGGGGGAGCAGTCCCACAGGAGGAGGAAGAGGCGGGGTTGAAGGAGGGAGTGGGGAGAATCCGGCTTCAGGCAGGTCCTGGCAACAATGTGGCTTGCACCTGTTCTGCTGAACAAGCTTCAGGCTGCACCCTACCTGTAAGATCCAACAGGGACTACTGGGGGAGGGGGCAGAGGGGTGATCAGCATCTGGAGCTGGAATGGTTGGGAGGTATCCTCTAGGTAGCTCCGCCCCAAGACTCCAACTTTGACAACTTCTATCCAGGATCCCCAAGGACAAGGGTTTTCACCCCTGTCTGTGTCTCTCTCTCTCTCTCAAACACACACACACACACACACACACACACACACACACACGATCCAAGCCCCAGCAAAATCAATCCTCCCAGTGCTTCCAGAGACCCTACCCCTGACCCCAAGAGGCCTCCTTTATTGAACACACAGCAAGCAGCCCTCCACAGCTCAGCCACCAAGCCAGTCACTTCCTTCAGTGATCCAGAGGCTTCCTAACGCAGCTCAAGCAGAAAGCTCAGGGTGGGGAACCCCTCCCAAATCAGCCACAGCCTCTAAAGTGTTAAGAAAACAACCGGGGTGCTGGGAGGGGGCTGACAGGCTGGGAGGAAGAAGAGCCTTTTGGAAATCCAATCCAGTTGGAGTCGCATGGATCCCAGCAGAGCCAAAGCGCGGTGTACCTTTCCCCCCACAGTACTGTGACCCCCCCCCATCCACACCCACCCAAGTTCAGAGCACCGTGCGCCCACTTGGGCACCCTGGGAGACTGAACTAAGGCCAGCCGCCGGCTGGACAAGCCCCTACTCCCGCCGCCAACCCCAACCCCCTGCAGCTTCCACCTTGCAGGTAGTCAACGTCTCTTACCTCCTACCCCCGCAGCCAGTAGTCTCCAGTCGGACCTGGGTTCTCATCCCGTTGCGCCAGAGCTGCACACTACACCCGCCCTCCTGCATGCTGACCCTGCAACATCCTTTCTGCCCGCGCGTACACTCCTATCCTTCATGCACCACCCCCAAAAACAGATGCACACCCCCGAGAGGAACCTACCCGGCCGGCTCCTTCTGCCCCTGCCCGGACCGGCGCCCCGAGTCACAGCCTGGTCCCTGGTCCTGCGTGCGCTCCCAAAGTTCTTCCGTGCACTCCCCCAAGTTTCGCAGCCTCTGCCACTGGGACTCCCCGGGCGAGCCCGACCCTCCTCTTAAGCGCTCCGTGACGCACGGGGAGGGGCGGGGGCGCCACTGACGCAGGCCGCCCGGCGAGCTTTGGCCATACAAGGGCTCGGGGGGCGGTGCGGTTCCGGCGGGAGGCGGCCAGGGGGAGGCGCGGCCCGGGGAGCCCGAGGGGGCGGGGCGAGGAGGGGGGCCTGGAATGTCTGCGCGCGTGACGCACGCGGGGTTCCATTGACGCAGGGAGCGCGGATTGTTTGATCTATAAATAGGCTCCTAGCGCCCGCCGAGTCCGCTAAAAATAGCAGCTCCCAGGCCCACTAGGCTCCCCACACCGGACTCGGGTCCCAACTGAGGGCCCCCAAGTCCAAAATAACCGGCGGGAGGGGCAGAACCGGTGAAGGGGCGCTGTAGAGCCGCGATCGCTGGGCTTCCCCAGACGAGGATCTCCTCACCCTCCAGCTGCTCCCGGGAGCCAACCGCGCCCGGTCCCTCCGGCTCCCTCTGAGTCCAGCCCCGCCTTTGCACCTTCCCAAGCCCTTCCTAGAGCCTAGGGTGATGCCGCACCGCTGCTGGGCGGTCAAGGCAGGTCGTGGGCTGGGGCGGGCAACTCGGACACACCCTGGGGAGCCTGCGCCCTCACCTCAGCCTTAGGTGCAACTGGTGCACAGGACGCGGTCTCCCCAGCAGGGTCTCAGGCTGAGAGGGTGCCCCCGCTTAGTCCCTCCTGGCGGTCTCCCTGCACAGGACCTTTCCGAGGGCAGGGGTTGGCCAGGCCCAAGCTCGGGCAACTGCTCCCGCTCCGCTCCACAAGCTGAACTTGGCTTCGCACCTTCCCCTCTCCAGCCCTTTACAGGGTGAATGCACCCTAATTGGGAAATTACCAAATTTCAGAACGGGGGGCGGGGGGAGTCTGAGAAATCTTTTCAAACTTGTGCCAACTCTTCCCCATTTTATAAATAAATAGGCCCAGAGAAATAATGGCACTTGCTCAAGGTCACACACCCAGGGCGGTGGCACCCTGGGGTGGAACCCAGGGCCACAGACTGCATCTCTAGGGTTCTCTCCAAGCCTTTTATCAATCCCCCTCCTCCTATCCACATCAAGGAGCACCGACCCCCCACCCCACCTCTAGCACCCGTGGGGAGGCAACACTGGCCAGTTATCACCTGCCCAGTGGAGTGCGGAACAGCCCACCAGGACCCTGCTAGGCACAGACCAGGCTGCAGCAGCCACCTGGAGCCTCCCCTGGCTGGGCCGTCACTCCTCCACCCGGATCTCTTCCTGAGCCTGGGGAGCCCTCACGGCAAGGTAGGAGAAGAAAGAAGGGCAAATCGTGACAAAGAAGAGACCCCTGCCACCCCACTGCAACCAACCATTCCCCTTCCCCCATGTAAGTCAATGTCCAGAAGAGTTTCTGCTTCCACCGAGCCTGCACCCACCCACCCAGCTCTCACCTCATCTGGTCACCCCATGGGACTTCCTCTACCTTGGAGGCACTGCCTGCTGCTAATTTCCACCCTCAACTCCCATCACAGGTTTCCCACACCCTTGTCTCCAGCCCCCGCTTCTGCCCACTCAAAGGACCCACAAGCACCTCAAATTTCATCTGTTCCAGGCAGAGCTTGTCATTTCTGCAACCCCTGCCTGCCACCTAATCTCTGCTCCTGATGCCCCATTTGCAACGTTTCATTGTTTCCTGAAATTCTTTTTTGGAGCATCTCTTGGGTCCTTTCCCCTCCCCATTTGTTTTGTTGTTTTTGAGACAAGATCTTGTTCTGTCACCCAGCCTGGAGTGTAGTGGCATGATCATGGCTTACTGCAGCCTCGACCTCCCAGCCTCAAGCCTCTTGCCTTGACCTCCCAAAGTGCTGGGATTACAGGCAAAAGCCACTGCACCCAGCATCTCCTGCTTTCCTACTGCCAGTCATTGCCCATGCCTCACTGGTCCCACAGACCAACTGCCTGCACCCAATGACCACTCCTTCTCCTTGCCCACACCCATGAAGATCAACCCTTAGCCTGCCCATCTCCTCCTTCTAAAGCCTCACTGTCCACCACAGATGGAGCAGTCTTCATGTACAGTTGACCCTTGAACAACACAGGTTTGAACCGTGTGGGTCCACTTATATGGGGTCTGTTTTCAATCCAACAT